ATTCCATGAAGCAATTACTTCATTTTTAGGCACCTAAATGTCTTTGAAAATGAGGCTTCTTTTCCTTCAAATTTTTAAACTATCTTGTCCACTCTTGCCTGCTTTTTATTTACTGAGAAGAAAACCAACTTTTCTTTCTTCAATTCCCAATCATTCTCTCAACCCTAAACCAGCCAATGCACAGAGATAATACTCTCTTTGTATCTGCTAACTAAAAGGATACAAAAATAATTAAGGCAAAAGGTTTTCTACACAACAAGTTATGAAGGTACTTGCACAGTAAACAGTGCAAATACTAGTAATCACTGAACTGTAAATATAAATGCTTAATGTAATATATACTCAGTGTATTTGTCTACTTCCCAATTCTTCAGGATTTTTAAAAAGGAAAACATTTAATTCATTAAAATTTGCAGAGAGCCAATTTACAACACAATTTAAATTATTTTACGAGATTATATATTCATATACTTTTTAGACAGCAACATAATTAAATATGTCTTCATTTTAGGAGGATTAATTTTTCTTTAAAAAATATTTTGATTTTAAAGAGCAAACATAATATTTGTTTTTTCTTATAAACAAGAAAACCTTTTAAGTATTAGGATGAGCTGCACAGTACTAGAACTCTAAATGCTACTTATTTTAGGAGGCAGGTTATATCTGATTTATTAACTTGTTCTTTATGGAAATAAGCCTAGAGGCTTATGCAATAAGAACATGTTTTTAAGCAAAGAAATCTGACTGGTGTCAACTATTCTGCTATGAAAGAGATATGGAGAAACTGACTGACAAGCCTTAGCTGAAAGTAGTGAAGTCCAAACGCCTTTGAACAAATCCACAACTATGGAACACAATAGATTTGCTAGATTGTATATGTTGACAGCCAGAAGCCACTTCTTAATGAACTGAAACTCAAGACCCTTGAGTACATTTATCATTAAATAGTCATTTTATAAGTAAAAGGTGCATAGAATACTCTAAATCCTACAACTGCACATTTGTTTCTGCAGCCTGATTTTCTCTTTAAAAGAGAAGAGTCAAATATTTCGGTTGGTATAATACAAGTGAAAGCTAACAGATTAGTATAGCAATTACCCTAACTCCAGAAGTCCTCTATAGCCAAAGGACAGATTCCCTAAAGACTCTACACTGTCATGCATAGTGTCCTGCCAACATGGTTTTATCTTGACCTAAAGGTATCAGAGCTAGTGTTAAAAAGTTCATTTACTATCAATACCTATTTACTCCATTTGGTACCAATTACAGCACCAACAGAATCCAGGCACAAAAATGGCAGTTCATATGACTTGTGACCAAGCTTAATGTAGCAACAAAGGCCAGAAGTTTCATGTTATTATCGGCAAATTCTTGGGCAATCCACAGCAATTTCAAAATGATGTCCATCTAGGTATTGTCTCATTGGTTTCAATATCTTCTGCAAGCTCAAGGACTCCAGCTTCTCTCAGGTTTTTTTCGCCCTCAGTAGTAGTAGCCAATAAATATTCTAGTTCACATGGTACCCAGGCATTATGCCTGAATCTGTTGCCTAGCTGTGTTTCCAACATACTTTATTGGTGAGCTTTGAGGAGATTCAGAAAAGTGACACCTAAATCACAACCTGTCAATCTCTCCATAGATCATTCACACAACTAATTTCACACCTACTGATTCGTCTATGTAGTATGTCCATTCAAACAGACGTACATGTGATCACAAGGCTTCCCACTCTTTCAAGTATAGATTTGTCTCAAAACAGGTCAAGACAAGTTCTCTTTCAGTATTCCTCCTCCTCTGAACATTTTCCATATCTGGCAGCCATCTTTTGTGACCCAATCTACACTATAATTCTTTAAGACAAAAATACTGTTAAAAAGTTTATTAAGCTACCATTAGTATTTTGCATGTTCCTTGATTCCCACCTCAAGTATTTTTCCATTTAGCATCTTATGAAAATCAAAATGATGCAGTGAATAGGACAAAAGACCAAGGAACTGGAAGACCCAAGTTATATCCCAGCTCTCGCCTAGAACTGCAATGTGACCTTGGATAAATTGCATCATTTTAGTGCTTCAGTTTTCTCATCCGTAAAATGGGAAGGACATTTTCCTTTCAAGCTACTTTAAAATTCCAGGTAAGAAAATTTTCCTTCCCTGATCTTTTCCCCCTTAAACTGCATTTTGACTAATTTAATTACTCTAACATACTAAAGTAACGTTCACATATGGATATAAAAATTAAGCACTACTGCACATGCACAAGCAGAAGTGTACTGAATGCCATTTTATGATGGTTCCTTTTTTGTGACTTCACTGCTATATATATATATTTTTTTTTAAAGCATAAATTAAGGGAACGTGTCAAATACTATTTAAAATTCTATTTTTCTGAAGTTTTCCTTCTAGTTTTTCCTAATTCCAGGCCCCAGTACTACCCTCAAGATATACATGACTCATGACATCGGACAGTCCTTCCCAGACAGTAGCCGGGTCTTCAAAACAATTTTATTCAAGTCAAATATCCATCCAAGAAATGTAATAGTCTTCTGTGGCATAAAAGACAACAGCAACAGGTGTTTCTAAAGGAGGTCAAAAAATTATCTCCTGACATCAATCAACCTTGTTCTGCAATAGCTTAGCATGGAACCGTTTTTTTGAAAGGCTCACCTATTCATGTCACAGTCCCTCCATAGAGTCACCTCTACAAACAATGGGTACAGGTACAAGAATATACTGAGGGTCAAGCTAAGACTGAAGTGCCAAACCAACCTGTTTGGCAGAGACTTAAAATAAAATGGGTTAAAAAGTCTCTCTCAGGTAAAAACATTATTAGCTAAATTTCAATCTTAAGTAATCATATATACCAAAAAATCAGTCTATTTACCCTCAGTTGCTTATAATGAATTAACACACTCCAAAGACAACCTATTTATAGTACTTTACCATTCCCTAGCATCATTAAGAGGATCTCAACTAAGATGCACCCCTTAGAGATGTAGATACCAAAAAGAATGTTTCCAAAGCAGAACTTACAAATAGAGTGATGGTGTCAATACAATAAAGATACCGTCAGAGATTCTGATACACTATGTTTTAAAGAATACTTTCTGACTTTAATTGTTCCATGGAATTTCTCATCTAGACATGTATTATGTTTTCAGAATCATGCTACTGTATGACAGGACTGATGTAAGAGACTTCATAGGTGGCAGATGCCAGAAAAGAAGTTGTTTTTTCTTCTCTTGGAAGAGAAGGAGCTGCAAACTGTACAAATAAAATCCAACCCCACTGAAATATACTAATTTTGGAAACATTTAGAGAAAATGTGTGTGTTGTATTATATATGCGGTCAACAATCTCAAATAAGAAAATGCTTACCCATGAATGTTGCAGCAGCTTGTCAGATTTTAAACAAAGTTTAGCTAAATGGATACAAACCCTTGTGGACATTTCATGAAGAGTGGATTCCTAAAAGCGAGGATGAGCACTGAGCTCCCCCCTTCCATTCCTTCAGAAGAGACTGGGAAATGGAAAATTCAAGCATCAGTCCACTGAAGACCTCCATGTATTTTACTACAGGGAAAACTTGGCACCAATTTTTTTGTTACTCCCTTTTCTTCCTGAAGTCATGCAGGGGTAGGGGAGAGCAGCAGCACACGTGCTTTGGATGATGAAATTCATCTCCTTACTTCATCCCAGACTGATGGGGTAATAATGGAGGTGGGCAAGACCTCAAACCTTTCCCCTCTATATTTGGTGGACAGGGAAATAAGACTTGCCTCTCATCATAAGACTATCAGGTGGTGGCAATAATTAATTAAATCTTACATTCTTCCTCCCTCCCTAAACTAGATGAAGTGTTAACTGGAAGCTCAGATACCTATCAACACTCCACCTGGGGTAAAGCAGATTAGGTAACCAAACCTGTCCCCCTCCCCCGAACTTGTGTGCATGCTTGGAAGATCCAAGATTGGGATTTCTACATTCTCCTCAAACTACATCTAGGGGACAAGGTGGAAAGAGCACTCTTTCTCCACAAAAACCAGTGACACGGGGACGGCAGCTAAGTGCGGAGAACAGTGCACTTTCTACTAGTATTGGGAATGTCACATGCCCCTTCAGGCTGGGCGCAGAGGCAGGCAGGCTGCTGCAAGAATTCTCCTCCCTAGGTTCAGTGGCCAACTGCTAGAAGCCATGATGGTCTCCGAGCAGGTTAGAAAAAGGCTCAATGAAAAATATCTCGGCCCAGCCCAGTCTTCAAAATGATGATAAAGAAATGTGTGCTCGGCTCCCCTCCCCCTGCCTGAGTGCAGATGTGGTGCTCAGCACCTCCGACTCCAAACAGCTTGTGGGGCTGAGGGCGTGGGGGGGGGGCAAAACCCCCGATGCCTCCAGACCACCTACAAAGGTAAGATCGCGAGGGAACCGAGCCCCCCCACGACAGAGAAGTGCGGGCGCCGGGACAAGACCCCGCCCCCATCCACGAGCCCAGAGGCTCGGGGCAGGGGGGTGAC